CTCCCTATACATCTCCTCCCTACATCCCTCCTTATATCCCCTCTCTACACCCACTCTCCACATCCTTCTATCCCTCCCTATCTTCCCTCCACATCCTTTTTATTTTCTCGCTAAAAGTGCAATTTTTATATTTTTCTTTGTGATTTACCGCTTGTGTTATGATGTATAGTTTGTATTTTAAACAGTCTGTTGTCGGCTATCGTCTCGTCTTAACTAACTTTAAAGTGCGAAAAGCGGATTTTGAAATAGGCAAAAGCTTTAATGTTTTTTAAAGGAAGGACATCGAAACTATACATAAAATTTTGGATCGAGTTCGTTCCAATGGTTTTCCCAAAAGTTCCAATGACTTGAAATATTTGCCTTTTAATGTTACCTTTTTAATATAGGATAATTCAAAGAGGTGTTATTCAATAAGCTATGTCTTCCTAGAGATCGGAAACTAGATATTAGACCGGAATAAGATTTCTATCAAAAGTTCTGGTTATAGAGATCGAAAATTTTTCATATATATCAATCTGGATTGCACGATAAGATCATTTGGGATTATGATCGAGATTTATCTAGATTTAGCGAGATTTTTTGAAATCACTTTTCTCGTACGATCCTCCCATTTTGAGCTCTAAATCAAAGAAAATAATGCTAAATAAGCATTATTTTCAGTACAGTCTCACTCAATGGACTGTATCTCGATGAGATGTTAAGCCATCTTTTGTTGTTGTTAAAAACTGTATCTATAACCTCGGTCCCGATCTGTTTCCAATAACTTTTCCGTAAGTTAGGGGTATTTATTCCTTGATCCATTTCCCGCGGAACCCCATTACAAACATATATTTATTTACATTATAGTATTCTTAATACATACACCTCAATAAAAACAGCAAAAATTACTTGACTGAAGATATCTGATATCCCTTTACGCCTACGTAATAAATATCGCCACATTTTTCTTTGTTTTGATTCATTTTTAAAGTTTGGTTTTTTCTATTTACACAAATCAATTTTCACGAATTTTTTGTTTGTTTAATTATTTTGAAATTATTTTTGAATTATTTTTATAGCAAATATTTCAATATTAATTTAAAATATTTATTATAATTATCCTTAAATAACTCCTTACCTTATCCTCTCCTATGACTTATCCATCCCCAATGACCTTATCCAACACCTTTGACCTTATCCCTCTGAACTTACCGGCCCAGGTGATAAACCTTCTAAACCCCAACCCGACTTTTTTCTCTTCCTTCTCCATTCATGCTGTTTAATGATTAATAATCCCTCTTGGCTTTTGTTAAGTATATGTGGGTATAAAAAAAATGTATAAAAGCAGTCTGTAGAGATCAGTCTTGATCGGCACCTGGTCCTTGGTCGGCAACGTCGCCGCCCGTCTTCGTTGTTCCAGCCTTTTGCCACTTTCATTATTCTTGTATTTACTATTCGGATAAACGTGTTAGGACATAACAGCTATTAGGGAAATGCCTAATTTAATTTTTAATTTTAATTAATTCAAAGAATTTTTAAAATAAATTTATCAAAAACCAGAGAACACTCATTTCAAGAAAAAATTTTTTTATTATTTTTAATTTATTTTTGGCTGTCTTGTGAGTTCTTTTTTAAAAGAAAAATCCCTCACATGTGTCCTTTCAATCCTTTATTTTTTATTAGTTCCAACTCAAGGTTCACCTCAAGGTGTAAAGCATACTCCCCCATGTGCTTTATAAAAGAGTATTTAAGTAAATCTGGCTTTACTAAATAATAGAAAAATATTTTTATTTTGAACAAAAAGTGTTTTTACTTAATATATATTTTTTGTTTTAAATAGATTAAAGATTATTAATTTGTTTTTATTTCAATTTTGAAAACATGTTTTGAGCCTTTACTTTAAAAATTAATCTAAAAGCAATTTAAAGGCGTACACTTCCGCTTAGTCTCGACTCAACTCAGCTCCGGCCCCTATAACTTATGAAACCGTGGATATCTCTTATTGTTCTTGGTACCATTGGATAGATAATTAAATACACTATAAGAAATCAAAAGATAAAAATTCTTGTATGATCGAAAAAAAATTTACGCTCGATAAAGTTCCAAAAAATCACATTTTTACAAAAATTTATATTTTAGGTCATAACTTTTATATAAAACCAGTCAAGAATTTTGATTGTTTTAAATCTTTTAGAGGGTTTAATTCTACATCCAATGGTACCAAGAACATTAAAAATGATCAACATCCTCTTGAGTAATAGGGCCGGGACTCAGTTGATTTAAAACATACACCTTAAGGTTACTTCGCAAGATTAATGGCCTATATCTCGTTATAGAATTTTTTCTGAAAAATCATATTATTCCTTGTAGCAAATTTCAATAGCTTTTGAATAAGCTCAATATGGAATTTCAAATCCTTCCATACGGGGTTGAAAATATTTCTTGAATGGCCCTACCCATGTTTTACGTTGATTTTTGAGGTATCTCAACTGATTTTTCCAGAAATACTTGTAAAATTTTTATTATAATTCCAAAATTCCTTCCCAACTATTTAAAAACATTTTTTACCAACTGACGTCAATTTAATTTTTATTTTATAAAAATATTTGTCAGGCGGAATTTTTCTTTTTAGCATCATTTATCTTTCTGGTCATACTTTTATTTCTCTCTCATTGTCAGACTTGTTTAAATCCGTTTTTATTCCAGAAACCAATTGGCGGAACACAAAAATTTATTTTTAGCCTGACATGTTTTTTTTGATTTTTTTTGCTTAGAATTTAATTTTTAAAAAAATATTTTTTCTATTTTTTGAACATTTTTTGCATCAATTTTTGGAACTGAGTTTAAATGATTGATTGATTGTTAGCTTTAAAAATGATCCAAAAAATAGGAGTATTTTAGTAGAAGAAATGTGCTATATTTATTTCATTAATCCTTTAAAATATTCTAAAAATTAATTAATAATAGCCCCCTCCCCCAATCACATGGGTCTATGACCATAGGTACCCAGCCCTGGGTGTTAGAACTAGAAATCGGGCCGAAACGAGATCTTGATCGAAAATCTCGGTTATCGAGATATCGATTCTCGTACGATAAGATTTATTGAGAGTTAACGATCTCGATAATCTAGATTAGCGAGATCGAGATTTTTTCGAGATCTCGATTCTTGTACGACCTTCCAGTCCGATCTCTAGTTACCACTGTATTGTGGGTACTGTTGTCTTCCCTTTCCTGTCAAATTTTTTAAGATGTACAAAATGTTTAGTAAGTTCTAGATCGATATAGCTCCTCGAGCTGAGTCGACTGACACCAAGATCAGTCCTTGGGAACATACCTGAGCTGAGTTACAAGGGTTTAAAATTGCCAAAAACCAATGGTTATAGGGGCTCAGAATGGAAAAGCTTTTGAGGAAAAAATACGATTTTACTGTGACTCGTTTGCGGAAACTGTATTTTCAATTTGATTTTAATTTTTAGATTTATTCCCCTCCAAAATTTTAATTTAATAATTAATAAAAATAATGGGCACAGACGACTGTGTTGGTAATCCAGCTTGTTGGGTAGAAAGTAAACCCTGCAAGTGTGGAGCCCAGAATTGGATTGCTACGCATGTTGAGCGTGTTGCTATTAAATTTGGGGGCGGAAAGGGTTGGTTTAATATTTCTTGAAGGGGAATTCAGTGGGTGTAGTTATAGGAGTGAGAATACACCCGTTATCTCCCGTTCGGCGTCTTTCAGGAATTTTTGGGACGGGAGGAGAAAATCCTGTCTTTTAATTTTCCCTGTGGTCGCCGGATGTCCGAGGACCCTAGGAAATCACAAGACAACCGATCTGAAAATTTCCGAATGCCCGGACCCCTATCAGAGACGTCACTCCGAAAACTAACTAAAGAAAAGACTGGGATAAGAGAGATTTTGCTTGTATCATATAAAGTTCGAAAAGCAAAAACTCCTAAAAAATCGTAAATCGAAAAAGTCAAAAATATCGAAAATCGAAAATAAAATTTCTGTCGAAATAGAAAGAATACCCTCGAAATCAAAATTTCAAAGCAGCTCTTAAATATCTTTACCCAAATAATATGGGCGAAATGGTCTGGGCATAATGTATTTTACATAATATATATTTTACATTATTCCTTTTACACAAATTTCCTCTTGTTCTAGTGAAAAAGAGAAAAGAGAAGGAGCACTATTTAATATTTTTGTCTATGTCTGCTATTTACACATGAGAGAATATTTCCTTAAAGGCTTTCAATATGCGTTCCTTAGAGCACAGTCAAATTTCAAAGTACCCCCGGGATGTCAAACTTTCAGGAATTTTTGGGACGGGGAGGACGCATCCTCCCTTTAATGTTTTAAAAAATTTCAGCGAATGAACTCGAAATTCCGGTGGAGGGCGGTGCTGGTGCTCCTCCCGTCCGGCGACGTTCTATTAACTTGTGGCGACCCATCGCCGGAATCTTTTCTGTGAATTTGCGAGAGGAAGCAGTTGACGGTGAGGTGCTGTCCCCAGGGCCGGATGATTTGCATGATGAAGGACCTCATGAAGCTATTCAAGTGAATACCTTTTGGAGATAGTGATCAGATAATACCGTACTACCTACCGTATTTTTTGGTATTAATCAGGATTCCGTATCGTAGTACGTAAGGATATGGTACTGTAAAATTTTGGAGGGTTTTTATGTAGCCCAAATGTTACGGGGGCTACATTGGTTCTTCTGTACACCCCCCCCCCCCTATGTAGCGCAAACATCCGCAGATCTTGTCCTCAACGTTAGTCAGCATGTTATGCCCCCGTTTCTCCGTAAGTTATCTAAAGGACAACGTGGACTTCTGGACCTCAAAGTTAAAAAGAAAGTTCATCAGTATTTATCGATATTTTTCGGTATTACGGTACGAAGTGTGGTACGGTACAAAATCACGATTACTACCTTCGAGAATTATAAAATGCTTATTTTACCTATTTATTTAGGTTCTTTTTAAATGCAAAAAGTGCAATTCAAACTTTCACTGCACCTATGAAATGATTAATGAGGAGAAAGGCAAGACCCAAAGCTTTGGGTAAGTCCTTGAAATATCCTTCCTGAACAATTACCCCTCCATTTCTAGTCACTACGCGGATTATTGTCATACCCCTGTGGGTATTCCAGAAGATCGTATTTGCTCTGAGGAGCACGCTTACGAAGCTATTCAACGTATTTATGCGGATATGTGGGATCGAGACAAATTTAGCCGGCATTTTAATAATTGCCGTCATTGGAGCGACATGTTTTGGTGGAAATTGTGAGAGAAAATCTTTCTTAAAAATTTTATTTCCCCATTTAAAGGCATCCAGAAGAGTACAAACGCAAGAAGGCTGCTGAGGAGACCATGGGTGGACGTTCCTTAAAGGCCTAAAATGAATAAATGGATGGGAGAGTTAATTCAGATTTAATTCTAAATTTAATTTGATGGGAAAATTACATAATATATTATTTTTAATTTTTTATTTCATACATATTGACTTGAATAAATACTAAAATTTTTGGACTATTTCCACTTCTCTATGTCTAGCGTTTCCTCCCCATAAAATATTTCTATGTCCAGTTATCTCTAGAGTCACACGACTTAGTTGTCCCCAGCAAAGTGAAACTTTCAGTGAATTTTTGGAACGGGGAGGTCCAGCTGCCTCCCTTTTATGTTTAAAGGATGAGACTCATACGGCAATAATTTCCTTAAGAAGAATAGACACTATTTCCAATTCCTCTATGACTACCGCTTCCTCCCCATAAAATATTTGAATGTGAGTCTAACCAATTAATTCTATGACTCAGTTGACCCCACAATGTGCAATTTTCAGGGAATTTTTGGAGTGGGGAGGTCCAGCTGCCTCCCTTTTAGTTTTAAGGCTAACAATATATAAGACTCATAGGCAATAATTTTCTTATGCTTGTCGATATTAAAAGAAAAATAAATTGAGAGAGGAGATTGCATTAACTCTCAACTAAACAATTTTTATTGACAGTCGGGCAATTCTTCAGCTTATTCACTTAGAGTAAGGTTGCCAATGAGGTTATAATTCCATCGCTGACATTGTGTCCAAAAATTTTTACATGGAAGAGGAGCCCTCTCGAATTTTTATAAAAAATTTGACCCTAAAAGGAAAAGTAGATCGATTGATATACTTCGTGAGACTCTTATTCCACATAATATTAAATAGCAATGAGAGAGAAATATAGAAGAAAAGAGAAAAACAAAAGAGAAGAGAATACACATTATTTAAATATATCTCTGTCCAGCGCCTATAAACTATCGTAAATTCTTTTGATAAATTACTCTTTTGTTTATTGAACCCCTGTTAAAATGTCCATATGCGAGAATCCATATTTTCGTCCATATTTTGTGATCCATATTTTTCCAATTTTTGGGTTGGGGAGGGGCGATCCTCCCCTTAAATTTCTATACTTGATGATTTGTTCTGCTTTGTGTCTTTGTTCATCTATCATGAATTTTTCGTTAAACACTGAAGGATCTTATAAATGTTGATCAAGGTTATGCCGTACTGCTTTTAAAATGCGGTAGACGGAACGCCAAAAAGACGAAAATACGGCGAAAGCTTCAACAGGATGTATAAATTAATTTCTCTCAAATTCCCCGATTTTCGGGGACGGTGAACAAGCCTAGTGCTTACTGAACATCCCTATCTAAAATTAAACATTTTAGAAGGGAGACCCGGAACTCTCCCCGTTCCAAAAATTCAAAACCTAAAGGTTTAAGGGGTTTATTAGTTCATTAATTTTTACGTCTTGGGCAATATTTTGAGAAATTATTTTATTGGTAGTGTTAGCTAGACATAGAGGGAGAATTAACCTACATACATTCTCACATGTATTTCTCTTTCTTTTCTTCTTTGCTACTCACAAGAATATAAAAAATTATACATTAGAGTCTTCTCAATGGAAAATTAAAAAATATTAGTCATTCAGACGTGAGATAGAAGCTTAGTTACCAGTTCCCCATCATGCTTACTGACTAATAAAGCTTCGCCGGAAGTTCCGGTTATAGTAGTCCGGAAGTTTCGGGATTTTTTGGTTCAGGTTTTTTGTAAGGTTCCGGCTCCGTCCGGAACCAAAAAATTAGATCAGGTTCCAGTTCCGGCCAAATTTGCGATTCTGGCACAGCACTACTAGCTAAGCTCCTCAATTTTTTTTATTTCCAAAAAGTATCACCCAAATTGAAAAATCACACAAATTTTAAAGGGAGGCTCCGGATCCTCCCCGCTCCAAAAATTCCAGAGTAGTTAATCTACCCAGTTCCACAAAGGGAATGCCGCCACTTCTTACCGTTAATGAATACTCTTGTGGCTTACTAACAGAAAATATTTTATAAGGAGAAAGTGATAGACATAAAATTTAATTTTATACATTCTCTTTTCATTTTCTCTTCTCTCTTATTATCTAGTATGCTTTTCTATACGTTTGAGTCTTTTAAAAAAATAATTTTCTTGATACGAGTGGATATACATAAACCCTCAATAAATGCCCAGTGCTTCTATTATTCAGTCAATAAACTTCATTATACATTTAATGTTCTAATAAAGGCCCCTCTCCAATAAAAGCCATGCATATAACAAAATAAGACACATTGAAAAACATATGCCTAGGGCGTCTATTAGAACATCTACGATTATTTATTTTTCTACTAAATTTTCTGCTATATCCGTTGGTACCGATTTCATTTAAATATTTCCACCCAATCGAGAGATATAGAAATAAGCTTTGCTAACTATCCACTCAACTTACTGATTTACTAAGCTCCTCATTTTTTTAATTTTTTAAATAAATCCTTTTTATTTTTTATTCATTTCGATTGTTATATTTTATAAATTTTAAATATTATATACCTTTTAGATTGTCTGCCCTCTTTGTCAACGGCTGACCAGAGAGTGCTCGATTTTTCTGTTAGCCTAGCACCAGCCGGCGCCGATCAGTTTTGTACATTGTGTTTATTTTCCGTTTTTCTTTCATCCTTTTTTTTATTTTTTTCTCTTCAATTCTGAGCTTTTACAATACAACAAAAGAAATTTTTAATTAAATAAATACTTTGCATTTTTAAATATTTCAATTGATTTTAAAATTTTACTTACCTTTTTAGTGCCTCCACCCCCATCTAGAGACCTTATCATTTAAATACCGTAAGACATCAATTTTAGACACCGATCAGTTTAAGACACCCTACACTCCACACCCAAGACCATACAACAAACGAAATTTTAAAAAATTAATGAGGAGCTTGGTAAATCGTTGTGATGACTGATTGGTTAGCTAAGCTTCTATATCTCGATTGAAATCAAGTTTTAGTATTGGTTGATGGGTGCTGCCTAAGTTATGCCCCTAGGTTTGAGTTTATTATAAGGCCGATTTTTCGGCACCAGGGATTTTTTCAGCCTTACCATTTGACGAATTTCCTCATTAAAAAAGGAGCCTAGTAAATCGGTGTGAAGATCGACTGGTTAACCAAGCTACTTCTATTCCTCTCTATTGGAGATTTTAATAATTCAAAAACTAACAAAAAATATTTATTTTTTCCTTCCTTTTCAACCAAATTTACTTAGTAATCAAATATTAAAAAATAATTTTTATTTATTTTTCTCTTTTTTTGCTACAAATTCCGGTTCCACAAAAGACCATTCTCTTTTTTATTCCTTTGTGGTACAAAAAAATATTAAACTATTTTTAGAAAATTTTCGGGCGGATCATCTCTCTCCTCATTTTTGAGCCCTTTATTTTTACATTTATTTTTTCTATTCACAAATTTTCTTTTTTTTTCTGATTTATTTTCTTCCTTTAACTACTTGAATGCGCGCTTTTAAAAGTGCTTCTTTTCTGTACTTTTTTAACTAGTATTTTTTAGATGCTTTTGGTCAATCACCGAAAAGAAAATTAGGATACATACTTTCTAAATTAGACCACCAACAACGCTTTTTCGTTAATTTTTTTTTAGTTCCAGCCTAGTTGTTTTTTGGGCGCTTCAGTTCACGCCTCAAATTAGAGCTTGGCTAAACACTTCCCCTACCGATTGATTAGCTGAGCTCCTCCCTCTTTTCTCCTCCTCCACTACGTTTCGAGCCCTATTGCATCTCGGGGTATAACTCTTAGTTAAATTATTTCTGAAACACGAATAATTTAGCTCATTGAGATAGTTCAAACCAATTCTGTGACGTCCGGGATTTGAGAATTATTAACTAAGTTAAACTCCTGCCCCGTGGGTGTGCCGTTTCGCGTTTCGTCTTTCGCCAAATTCTCGACTTTTTTGTGGTTCGACCTTTGCCTTTCGCTTTTTAAATTGTCTTTCGCTTTTTCGACATTCCTCCTCCTCTTCTTAAATCATTTTCTGCACTATTGACTTTCACAGTCTCCACTAAAAAGTCGTTTTGAGTCTTAAACCGAAACACAATTTTTTGTTGATTTTCCACTTTATTTTATGAATTTTATTGGTAAACTATAAAATAACAATTTAATATTAACATTCCACTCCCTCTGCCCTCCTTCAATTCTTTATTCATCTCGCTTCAGCCATAATCTTTTTTGCGCGAAAGTTGGTTGTCTTTTCGTGTCGGCTGCGCGCAATGCCCGAGGCGTAAGCACAAAAAATGAATTTAAATAGGAAGAATGGTGTGTAAATATTCTAAGATTTTACAGAAAAGTCCGCAATGTTTATCTGCAAATCCAAAAAATCAGAGTAATTTAAGTCCGCAAAAAATTTTTTTGTCCGCAAAAAATTTTTTTGTCCGCAAAAATATTTGCGGACAAAAAAATTTTTTGCGGACAAAAAATTTGCGGACATTCCCCCGATTTTGTTTCCCGATTTAATTAGAGAGAACCCTCCATCGCGTACTTTTTTGTTCATTCTTTGTATTCTCCTTCTGTTCCCATAATAATTTTTATTTCACTAAAACAGAAGCAAAAAGTGGGGAGAGAGGGACTGATCACATCGTCGTCTTCAGTCGTCTTTTTTAGCTTCTCACAGCTGCAAGTACAAAAATACTTTGTTGGTCAAAAAATGTGGTGAATGAATAGGAGAGGAGGAAAAGCCGGTTCTTTCTACGCTGTTTTTCCCTTTCCCCATTTTTTCAATTTTTTTCTTACCCCAAAACAGCTTTGTACCAACAACAATAACAATGCATTAAAAAACATTCTTTGCGATTTGTGCTTAATATTTATTTATTCATTTATTTATTTTTATATAAATGTTGATTCAGCTGGGGAGAAAAATATAAAAATTCTGATTTTGTTAAATTTGATCGCTCATGGGAATTGTGTAAAATAATAGGAGCTCTGTAAGACATTCGATTTCATTGTGTGTTAGCGGAGCTGGCACGAAGTGTGAAGAGAGTAGTCAGCTAAAAACGACCACAG